TTATTCTTCTATTTATATAATTATTCAACATTGAATTTAGTAGTCATCCTATTATTCTTCTATTATATAATTATTCAACATTGAAGTATAGTAGTCATCCAATTATGCTTCTATTATATAATTATTCACCAATTGCTTTTGATCTTCAAAAACAACTGTTCAGAAGTTATGCATCAAAAGACAAAGCATGATTGACCGTATTATAAAGCTAATAATATCTAACAATTAATTAATAATTTTTTTATATTTTAAAGAACTCGTTTTGTTAAATGTGTATTTATATGGTAAATATTTTTTCCAAATGTGAAACAGTGAGATAATAATAATACCAAACAACTGGAAAAAATATAGTGGATTATATAGGACTAACCTGTCGAGACATTTCTGGGAGGAATAACATCCGGGCATTTGTCCTTTGTGTCAGCGAGATTTGATGGATTCACTTTTTTATGATCATCTGACCTAATGTAAACAGAAAATCTGCAATTTTACCACATAAACATATAGAGAATGTATGTATATTAAAACGAGTGCCTTAGAATTATTATTATTATTATTCATACAAAATATAAATATATCAGTGTGTTTACTTAGAAAATGCATTCTTTCATTTTTATGAAAGTCCCCTCCTCCCTCCAACTGGTGGCTCAGCGGTAAGTCTGCAGATTTACGACGCCAAAAAAGAATTTCGATACCCATGGTGAAAAGAGCACAGTAGCCCATTGTGTAGATTTGTGCTTAACAGCGACACCACACTTTACGAAAGGTTGTGAAGTTTCCAACCTTATATATCTTTCATTCATTCCAGTCTTTTCTACTATTTTCGAAATAATGAAATTTTGACTTAATATGTTTCTGGTTTGACTCACTGTAAATTTTGAAAGAAATGCTTAAGTTACTAGTACTGTCAACCATATAAAATGTCATTTGAATGAACACCTTGCACCTTATCATGTATATCAGAATTTCCTATGAACTGTAACCACCGTATCCTATGAAATGAAACCGAATGAATTTGTTCCTTGAACAATTACACTGAACTGAGTCGTTGGAAGTAATTAAACATGGAAATGTTTCCTTAAGTGAAGACAAAGGTCTAGGAATTTAAGCCTCCAGTTGTAGTTTGATTAACATTGTATAACATAATTATAGTAACTAGTAGAACATGTATAGAATTGTAGTATTTCACTCAACTGGCATTCTTATCTAACCACACAAAATCGAATATTTGGCCACTAAGATAAGCTCTTTCTAAACGTTCTCTTAAAACTTTAAAATCATCTCTGTTAGTGTTAATACTGCGAGTATTCACCCCAATTTTAAAGTTTTTAATTAACAATGACTGTTTATAAGATTTTTAACAGCAGAACGATTTCATAAAAGGCTTCCTTCAAAAGGATATATTAGTCTTTCATATTTTTTCACGTTTTAACAGAATTCTTAAACCTTAATGAAAAATGAATTTGTAAGCAACATTTTAGAAAGTTACGCAGGAAACATATTCAAAACTCAAATGAAAACCAAACATTTTCAAAACTCAAATGAAAACCAAACATATTCAAAACTCAATGAAAACCAAACATACTCAAAACTCAATGAAAACCAAACATGTTCAAAACTCAAATGAAAACCAAACATATTCAAAAGTGCTTAATACTCGTGTATTTTCTTTAAAAGATAAAATGTGAGATATTTGTATTAACATAAAACGACATAGACAATATTCTAAAAATCGGCTTTTAAAATAAAGTTTGATGTCACAACATTACATGAAAATTATGTTTCAAATGTTTTTAGTTAAAGTTTAACAACACATACACACAGAAATTAGCATGCATTTATACGAGTCGCTCTAAGTGAACCTTAAGCCTATATGTAAAGTAAAGAAAAACTTTTCAAAAAAAGAAGTAAATGTTAACTTAATTTTTGAAAAGTTTTTTATTTAGTTGTTTGCTTGTTTTTGTTTTTAATGCAGTGTTTAAATAGACATAGGAAAGTTGTATTTAAAACCAAGTTCTAAATACAATGAGGCTACAACTGTAATATTTATTGTATATTGGCAGATAATTCCTGCTTCACCCTGTACTGAAGCTTTATATAGGAACACCAAATTTGTGTAAAAATGCTAACCTCAAGGGGTAATGATAACATCGTTTACACCAGAATTATGATTTTCTTAAATTACTACTACTTAATAATACTTATAAAAGCGGATACTTCAGTGGATTTGGTTGACACCATTGTTCTGGTTCTTAAGTTATCATGTAATAAAAAAAGAAGAAGAAAGAAGAACAAGAAATTCAAACTGTTTGCTATGATATTTATAGACATTCCCTGAACTAGTGACTCAGTCATTACATAGATATTGTTATAAAAGAAAACATTACACAGTGTGGTAAAGTTCTAATGATCTGTTGAGGAGATATTTAAAATACCATTCCGATGAACAAACCGAGCCATCCCTACATAGGTAGTTCTACCGCCTGCTTGAAAATCGTTTTTGCGTATTTCTTCTTCTGTTCTTCTTCATGCTCATACGTAATGAACGGTGAGACATCGGTTTTCCCAAGTGATGTTATTCTTCTAGTTAAGCATGTCGAAATTCGACAAAATATATAGAGTTCTGTATTTCAAGCCGCGGTCCAGAACTAACGACTATCGAATTCATACTAAAAAAATAAAGCTGTTCAGAAAATGTTTTTTGTAACTAACAGTTTCGATATCTGGGACACCAGGGACATGAATTTTTATCCGATCGAATAGAGCTAAGTAGAGCTGACTATGAGAAAAAATTGACCCCGACAGACAGACTTTCATTTTCTCACATTTTATTATACTAAAATGTATTTATTATATATATATATATGTGTGTGTGTGTATAGATGTGGTTTAATTTAAACAAAATGTTGAAATGTACATGTAACATGTGTTTTTTTTATATGATTTTATTAAATACAGTATATACACTATTTTCTTACATATTTTGATTCTACCAGGAGATGGCCCCTGTAAATAGGGTCGAAACTTGTAGTACAATATCTTTATGCAGTAATAAATAATTGTGGTATAAATGATGTATTGATAAATGTATCGATTACATTTAGTTGGGAGATAGAATAATTTAAAAACAAATGTTATTTTTCAATTATCAATATACTTACTTTCGTATTATTTGAAGAACACTGCTACTGTTTCCATTATAATTATTTTTCTAAGAATTATAAATATGTTATTGTCTTGTTTTGAGTAGATAAATAAATAAAATGATGACAAAACTTACTTATTTTCAACTTCTGTGGAGGGAACCTCACCTGTATGAAATATGAAATGATAAATAATTTGTAATGACAATATAACTTACACATTCTCAGTGACATTGTAGTAACAATGATTTTTCACTTTCACTTTATATAACAAATAAGAACATGCGACCTATTGTTATACAATTAGTATTAAACAATAGACTATAACCCATTTCATATACCAATGGAAGAAGCCGTATAACCGAAGTTTAGAAAACGAACCATGTGGTATAATCCTACAACAACGGATTTCAATAACTAATAATCGCAAAGTGTTTTAACTGTATGATGTACTTATTTTCCAGCTTGTGTTAAGGAACATGAAAAATACGAAAAAGAGTTTGATTACAACAATTAATACTCAAATTAGTAGTGTTATGAGTTCATATTAAGAGAAAAAAAAAGATATAGTTAAATTGTTCATATTATGGGTTGCTTTGCTAATATCATTAAGAACCTTACAGAAAATATATATGTACAGCATATATATATATGTGTGTGTGTGTTAGTATATAAATCATTACTTTTTTTTAATGTTCTCATACATATACTTTTGGAATTTAGTTTTATTCGAAGATAACCATGGAAATAAAGTGGTAAGAACCAGACATTGTTTCGTTAACTTTATTCAACTTTCAATGCCAAATGAAAACTGATTTATTAAGAATTGCTGTAGAATGTGTTTGTCTACAATATTATCTTACTTGACAACGTGTATTGCGCCTTTCATAAACCTTATTCATAATTCTTTTTTTTTCTTCTCTCTCTCTCTGGCTTTCTCTTTTATTATAAGATTCACTACTAGTGGATAATGTTAATTCATATTGTATGAACTGAATATTTGCTGTCGTAAAAAAAATATTTGGATTAAATACATAGTATTCCACTACTTCACTGAAAGTATTTCATATAAACACAGTTAAATAACTATGCAATACCTCTGTTAGCTTCAGAACGTCTTCTCTTCACAATAACTAGGATAACAATCGCCATGATGACCAAAACGAGCATAATTCCAAGAAGTACCGCTAAAACTGGACTAATGAATACTTGAGGTAGCGTACCTACTTAACGAAGGAAAAAACAATAGGCTACAAAAATTAAGATACGTGATTTTCTTATGTATTAAGACGATTATCTTTATTGATAAATGAATCTTATTCTCACTTTCAAAGATTGTCGCAAACATGAACAAACAAATAACATATTCAGATATTTTCCTTTGTATGTTATGAAAACTATATCGACATTAAGCTTTTGGGTTGGTTGTGTATGTATAGTCAAACTTTTTTATGTTTTAATAACGAAATATTGCTTGAGGCTAATAAGCCTTATAACTATCCTGGCATCACTCATATTTCTTTCTCATCTTATAATGGTATCAATTATAATGTATTAGATTGTGAGCATTTACGTATAATATGATAATCCATACTACTAAAAAGAGAATAAAATATGAGTGTTATATCTAGCTGGAAAGTTCGATAACTACAAACGCTTTATCTAAAACAGCAGGAATGCACGTGTGTAAATTTAATTAACCGAAATCGTGACATTAATAACAGATGCACCTTGTTTTACTCAGTACTAATTATTGGTAGAATATAATGATAAAACGCATTTCCTCCTTAAGCAACCGCATAATAATAGGTACTTCAAAATCCCTAAAATAATTATTCAATATAAACATTTCATGGTTTTGGCTTAATGTATTATTTATACAACTTACTGTAGTACTGTTATCCTAGCGGAGAGTTTTTTATTTACTTTTTGTGAGAAAGCTAAAAAGGGATCGTCATTAAATCTGAAATTTAATAGCATTTTTAAGCTATATCCTTATTGCGTTAGTCTGTTTCCTAATAATATGGTTTGTACAAAGATATATAGCTACATATAACAGAATAAGTTTAGAGATGTCTTAATAACAGGCAAATCACGTACCAGTGTGTGATTCGGCAGAGAAAAGTGTGCTACCCGCTAATATAAGATCTTTGCTTTTCCCTTTACTGTTAGAGGCGTAAACAACAATTTTCAAAGGACTTCCAGGTGGTAAACCAGTGACTTCAAAGACTGGATGATCGAGGGACGTTTGGTTAACAAGCAGTCTCCGATACTTTGTACTGTAAACCTCCAGGTGAAATTGCTGTAATAAGCCACCGTCGTCTCCGGCTGTACACGCAAGGCTTATTGAATGTGCCGTCTTGTTTTTCACAGTACAGTTTGAAACACGTTCAGGTTTGCCTGTGTCAATTATATGAAATGGTTTTATTTTACTCTCTACTTGAGGTAACATATTTAACATAGATCTTAGAACGTTGAATAACAAATACATGGGATTAGAATAACTGGTATTAAACATTTCAGTTTAGAAAATTAAAGAACACTGTGATCCATATCTATCAGAAATTACATTTCAAATTCTGTATAGGTATTAGTGCCATTTCTAATCGTCGTACAAGGCACACCATTAAACACGTAAATTTACAGTGCAAATTACCATCTTTAAAAGACCAACTACAAAAATAACCTCAAACAAGATATATACATATGTGTCTCATGAAAAATATGTTTTATTATTTTCAGCTTTTGCAATTATTTCTCATTGGAGAAGTAATTTTTAAGACTTCTATCTCTATTTTTTTCATTCTATTTCCATTCATCTTGTACATTGATGTATATTATGTATAATTTTATGACTAAATTAAAACGTTCATACATAATATCCTCTGCTTTTAGGATGAAATCAAATGTAATCCTTTAAAACTCAGTATAAAAGTCATGTTACATATGAATATTTAATCTTTAGAAATCTCTTTAAGAATTTTCTTTTGTTTGAACCATGAAATCGTCTTTAAGAAATATAAGTCAACACTAAATGTCTATGTAAGTTTCAGAAACTTTAAGCATTATTTATAGTCTGAATTATATTGCAAAGTTTATTTTGATACGGTAGTGCTAAAACTGTACTAAAAGGCATTTGGATTATATATGTTTTACATCCATCATCTAATAGTCGATATTCATGATATTTTATATTGGATGATTGCGTAGTAGGTTCTCCTTCAATGTAATAAACAACAAAAAAAAACGTATTTATTACTTGAAAAATGTGTCTGTTTCCAAAAGGGGGGAAAAAAGAACAATACTATAAAGTAAACGATAGAACTTTAAGATGCTTCAAAAATGTAAAAAAAAAATCTTTAAGGGATAAATTAGGTAATTTATTATATATTACAAATCGCTTACCAGCTTGAATAATGTTGAACACACAAGGCTTTTGTTGCTCTCCAATATTATTTTTACCCAGACAAAAAAGAGTTCCATAGTCATACTTAGTTTTAGGGGTGAAATATGCTGTACTAGTGGAGCCAGAACTATTGAAAGTAACGATATCAACACGTCCTTTAGAGCTCTTAAATCCCCACCGAAATGATATATCACTTGGATCAGCTTCAAGACGACAAGTAATTTCAGCCCTTTCGTTCCTTCCAACACCATACACCGTCATCTGTCCTGAAGCACAAACTGGAGCATCTAGGAATCATCAGAAACTAATACATCAGATACAAAAAATAATTTAGAACAGTACATTGATTTCAATTTAAAATAAACTACGGAATATCCTCTGATATAAAACGCTTAATGCCGTTCATAATGAAAGTATATGTATATTTATTGATCTTACTTCCAATCTAAAAGATACTAACACTAGGAATTGCTAGTGATCAAGAATAATCTTCACATATGTTAAGGGTTACAAACATATGTTAATGGTCACAATAAAAGTAATGTATGAATCTAAGTTTCAAATGGACAGCAACTGCCTGTTGTAGAAACCTACAAATGTAGAGGACAACGTTTCGAAAGTCTTCTGAAGACGAAAGTCGGAAGACTTTTGAACCGTCGTCCTCTACACTTGTAGGTTTCTACAACAGGCAGTTGCTGTCCATTTGAAACTTAGATTCATTATGAATACTCTGCCTAAACAACCTATCAAAAGTAATGTAGCTTTGGCGCTCTTTTTTTTTCTGTATTATTTATTTTGCTATATTCTCATATGGAAATAGTTTTCCAAAAACTGTAAACAACATGTTACTAGTTAAGATATGCCTTAATTTAGAGTTTTGTACGCTTAAACACAATAAGCGCCCACATATTCTAGCCTAAGCGTTTCTAGTAACATTAAAATTCCATCTATATAACGAATCAGTTGTTACACAGAAAACTAAGATCCATTTTTAAGGAAAAACAGAAATGGAGTGTTGTAACAGGCTGGAGCACAGAAATCATATCTATATATACACCAAGGACCACAATATATGAGAACAATCTCGCCAAGAAACTATTGGAAATGTAAACGGCCCCCAGACTACACAATCATATAACTGAAAAGACGCACTTTGCTGCCATCACCCATTGTCATTGCTGTCTTTTCATGAAGTTAGCATCGGCTAATAAAAACCCAAACATAATAAGTTGCATTCATCAGCTCAAATAGAGGTACAATGTTTGGCTAGTAATTAAATACTAGGCTGAATTGTATGATACATTCTGTACATTTTTGGAGATTTTATGAATGTAATTTTCTTGAAGAAATTTTTGGTATGGATTTATGAATGTGATTTTCTATAAAATATTTTTGATAAGCCACAGGTGTACTATTACTATATGATTAGGTAGCCTGACGTATCTAGCTTGTACATAAGCAAAAGTTATTGAAATTCAGAAATTCATACAATTTTAAGAAAATTCTGCGGTTTTTTTTTCACATGTCTCCAAAACGCAGAAGGCAGCTAAAATAAAGGAAAATTTATCAAATAAGATAATTTCTCCTCACTTTAGTATAATATATATATTAAATAATTTTGGTTAGGATATTCTATATGATCTTTGAGCCTTAATCAGGGTACTACATTGTGCTACGCACAACAAGAGAAAAACTTTTGGCCATGAAAGCTCAATAGGGCGAAGCTTTCAAGATACTGCAAAATGATGCAGCTGCGAAAAACCTGGCTGCCATAAAAACGTTACACGTGTGGCATGGAAAGTGCAAAATCTGGTACATATATGAGAAATGGTATAGACCTGCAGTGTCTAGGAAAGTGTTCTTGCATTTATTAGTTGTTGTTGTTTTTTTTTCATGGTATGATATCTGAAGTAAAAGCAACATAGTGTAGCTGGAAATAGGTTGTAAACCTTAGACTTGGCTTGTCTCCACAGCTAAAAGCATGTGACATTTGGTCTGGAAAGCGCCATGCCCAAGATAACGATCCCTCACGGCCATTTGAAGAGTGCAAAATGGGATGATACCCCCTCTTGCTGAAAGAAACACGTTCCAATAACGCAATATGCTTCCCACTAATAGAAGTAAGGGTGATCTAGAATTATGGCTGTTTTTCCTTTGAAGAAATAAGAACTGTCAAGCTTTCATAGTGAGAATGGACATGTACTGTTCTTCTCTTCAAATTCAACAGTTACTTTTATTGACTGTTGCACACAGATAGAATGTTACATTAACGGACAAGATAACATAACAGAGTATGATATTTTGATGTCCCATGTAGTTAGAAAACATGCTGCCTCGTAGTCTGTTGCTCTGTTTGCTCATTATACGTATAAATGTTGAGCTGTATTCAAAAATGTGGATTTGGTATGACAGCTCAACAGACTTCCTTCTGTCAGAAATCCCCAATCTACGAGGAAAGTCCATTATTCAATTGTGCTGGGTCATCAAGTGTTATTCTTAGGTCACACTAACACTGTGTTCTTGAACTGTTTGTAACATCCCTTAACTGCTTTATTCAACGGTTTCCACGCATGATACATGAGTAGGAAGTAGTGTGGCATAAGTAAAATAAAAGTTAAATTCATAACATACAACAGTATCCATTTTTTTTATTCTGGACAATTACACTTTTTGCATTAATTGTTGAGAAAATCTTGATTATTTTGCTTATGTCAAAACTAAAGAGATTTGATAAAATTTGAGGGTGTTCAAACTAACATGTATTGACATGTATTAACCTTTCTTGCGACGTTTTAAAATGTGCACAACTATTTATATTTTACTGCTTAACAATAAGATTTGAGAACACATGTAAATGGATCTCAATATTATTTTATTAGTTTAATAAAATTCTTTGAGAGATTAGACAAAAATTGGCAAGAATATATAGAAATTACGTTTGGTAGCTAAAGTTACACATCATTATAAACACCGCAAAAAAGCTATTTAAACAGAATCCAAATTTATATTCCTATCTCTTACAACAAAAACTATTAAAAAGCAATGCCAATTACTCCTCTTTGTTAATCATATACAAATTAAGAATCTGATTATTCGTCAGATGATAGGCATAACACATTATTACCTATTCTGTCTTTGTTCTTAAATGAGAGACAACCTAACTTCAAACTTGAGTACTTCACATCAGAGAGTTGAAAACATCCTGAAAATATTTTCAACCATCAGGTTGAGAAACGTTATTTCTAGGGCAGTTTTAATGTCTTAAATCACTTGATGTTATGTAACGAGTCCACAAGAAAACCCAATGTATGCTCGATCGGATGAAGTTCATTCGATTAATCCCGTCGCCCTCAGGGTTTTGTTGATGAGTTTAACACAGTGTGGCAGATATTATCATACATTAAGCTTTAGTCAGGATCAATTGGTCAAGCCCATAGTAATAGCACAAAGTCTAGTCCGTATAATGAGTGATATTAATTTTATTCCACAAGATCTAGAGAATGGACGTCCACCAATACTTCATTCTGTCCACATTTTACTTCCACCAGTGCCACATGCGTTAGGTTTTTATGAAAATGGGATTGAAACTGTTTTCAGATTTTATCAGAGTTATCAAACCCTCTTAATCTGGCTGCATGCTATAACACGACTCATGTGTAAAAAAGAATATTTCCAAAGAATATTTGGGCCACTGAATGTGTTCTTGGCCCAAATTGCAAGCGAGCTGTTTTATACTTTGACTTTGCTAATAAAGAAACCTAACTAACTGGGCGTTTGAAATACACAGTGGACTAATGAGGTCTGTCTCTAACAATCTCTATACTGGTCCGGTTGATGTTCTGAATGCATGATTCAGTTTCAGAGCAGGTATTATACAATTTGTGAGAAGCTAGAATCGATGGCTAGCGGTCGTCTGCTTGTGATATGAATTACAATCTGCCTTTTCCATTGTCCAAGGAACTGTACCATTAATTTGGAAGAGGCTACACATTCTATTTACGACTATTTGATAAATTGCGACCCAATTTGCAACAGCTTGTTGTGATTTGCTAACTTCTATTGAGCTAGTAGACTTCACATATTTAAAACGTCCAAATATCTTTTTGACTTTAGACATGATTAATGAACAATTTGGAGAACTTCAAACTCTGAGATTGACTTGAAAGTGACAAATGAGAAAAGACTGCATGAGTCCTCTACAAATGTGGATTTCAGAACCGAGTTATAATCAGATGGTTAAGTTGAATAAAATGAAGTTCGTGGGTGGATTGTCATTAAAATATAAGAGTATTTTCTTGTCTTTTCATGACTATAACATCACAAATTCTAATTTTTCTTATTAAGTGTTAATTTTAGGCTACTGTATGGCACGCTCAACCTTTTACAAATATCATTAAGCCTAAAGTTTGCCGTATGTCATCTAATTCCTTGTCATATCGATTTTTTTGCATTACTCATAAAGACAAATATTACGTAGGGCTATAATTTAACCTTTGCATCTTGCTATATTAATATTATATACTAATACGTAAATATATAAATATATGTGTGCGTGTGTGTTTATGCCATGATAGCATTGTAAGTCCGCAGACATACCGCTGTGCCACTGAAAAAAAAAGTTGAATCAGACACGTGTACCACAGTGGAACTATAACGGATTTCTAAATTAATTGATTCATTAATATCTGATTTAATAACAGCCATTCACAGCAAAATTATACTATGATGGAAAAACCTGTTTAATAATTAATTTAATGTTTATATTTTGGCTGACATTTATTTTGGACTATTTAAGTAAAGACAACATTAAAAATATTGAAGATATAAAAAGCTGGTGCATATATCAAAAACTTTATAATAATAATAAAATTAGAAATTCTAAGTCATGCAGTAGGATTAATACATATCAATAAATATATTTATTCAATGGAAATTGAATATGTATTTTAAATATTTTACATGTCTTTGGAGAACAGAACAAAAAGTAAATGAATAATTTTCTTTCTGGTGTTGTTATATGGTGCATTTGTTAAAACGATTTAACTATCTTTTGTAGAATAAATATTGTATAGTTTGTTATATCCTTCTAACGAAAACAAGAAGATTTTGAAATAAATAAAAACATGTATATTAATATTACACCAAAACTGAAAAGGCAAAAGTGTAATATGATATTTAAAAATTAAACCTGAATTCAACTAAAAATATCTGCACGTAAATAGTTTTCTGAATTTTTCAGTTATTTGTAGTGAAAGTGCTCGGCTGTTTCGACA